AATCGTCCCAGTACTTTAGTACTGTCCATTTAGTTCTGGAACTTAAGCGGTGCGAAAGGCCCTTATATATGTGGAAAATTGACCGTTACGCAAGGAAAAAACGAATCTATGCAATAAACTGAGCATAATGGTGAGCGAATCCATGTGTTTTTGTAAGAAAAATATCCATATTTCAAACGTAATAAACACTTTTCTCTCACTTCCGCTAACTGTCATACGTGGAAGCCAGATGACGCAGCACATCGGCGTTGCGTGATTAGTGACGAATGCGGAGAGAGAACAAAACAAAACGCCATTCCCAAATTAGAAGTACAAACCAAGGATTTGTAAAGAAGAATGTCAGAGGATTTCGATATAAACCAAGAGGAGACTGGTTTTCCTTTGCTAAAGTAAGGAAACTTTGCTTCCTTTGCTCCTGTTAACAAACTCGTGAGACTAGCATATCTCAGAGGCGCATCTGCCGGGACGGTTTCCGCGTATGGCAGATACCGGAAGTGAGAGAAAAGTGTTTATTACATTTGAAATATGGATATTTTTCTTACAAAAATACATGGATTCACTACAAGCCCTTTATTAACCCCCCGGAGCCGTGTGAGGCACGTTTTATTATGGATGTGCGCGCTTTATTTGACGACTTGTGGACTGTTCAACTATAACATCCGCTGACTGCAATGATAGAGCTTGGAAGAGCCAGGACAATTTTTAATATAACTCTGACTGGATTCGTCTGAAAGAAGAAAGTCATATACACCTAGGATGCTTCGAGGGTGAGTAAAACACAGGCTAATTTACATTTTTGGGTGAACTATCCCTTTAAGTCCTACTGAAAGTGTCAAAAAAGCACTCAAAAGTTCAGCTAACTGCATTTGACATACATTTAAAATACATTTTTATTTCATTGCAATTAGCATGCAATTAAGCACCCTATAACACTACATTTAGTTTACACTTCTGTATATTCTTTTAAAGTATATTAATTCTACAAGTGCCTGCACTTCAGCGTCCGTCCATCCATCGCTGTTCTCCATACTTGCAAAATAAGTTGACATGCTTACAGTATGTTTACACGGTGTTTTAAATCATGGCGGGTGAGGGCGTTTTCATACGTGTTTGGCCAATCAATGTCTACTTACGTCACGATTAGTACCAGTTGTGCTGGTTAGACCCTGCTCCGGAGTAGGAGCTAATTTGGTTCTCGAAAAAGGCAGTCCGGTACTAAAATCGCTCCCAGTTCCGGCGGTGCGAACACGCCGAAAAGTGGGTAGTTCCACAATTAGTTCTGGTACTATGAAAAGGTTCCTGCGGTGCGAAAGGCCCTAAAGACTCTATGCAGCAACAAAAGAAGAACTAACAAGTTTTGAAGTCACTATACTGGGGCCAAGGACATAATTTTTTTAGATTAACAAATTTCTTTTTTTGCCCTTCCCCATCAACAGCCACACACACTACTGCTAGCTGTTCTGATGGCCAGCTGTCTACACGTGTCTCAGCATCTCACTGGGTAATGAAAACAACATGCTAGTGTGGCAGAGCAGAGCCAGGAAATCAGTCACACCTGAAACGGATCATCAATGCCCGATTTCCTCACAATTTACAAACTAAGCTCTTAGAGCTAAACGATGTGGAAGCCTGTCTCCACATCTTTGAGATGGCAGCGATGAGTGAAGGAAGGAGCAGCAAGAATGAGTATGTTTTCTGGATTCATGTCTCATTCTCTCCCACACTTCCTCCAAGGACAGCTGTAAGATCTTAAACTGTGGTCACATAAATATTTACGGGCAAAAAAGGTTCATTATTGATTGTCAATGGTGTAGAGGTACAGCTGACGGTTCCTCCGTGAGCGACCCACTAACCTCCAGTAGCAAAAACTGTCAGCATGAATAAATTCAAAGTAAGCCATTGTTGATTATGAGAGCATGCACTTCAGTGAGCCAGAGGAGATGCTCTGAATCTTCCATGAAGGATCTTTAGTAAAGAAGCCAGAGAGCCTGAGCCCGGCTGTTCAGTTCAGTTCAGTAGTGATGGAGGAAGTGTGCATGGCCTGTTTTAGCTCTTCCTCAGCTCTGACCAGGACCCTTGTATTTGCCTCATGCATCAGGTGTGCAGACTTTATACGATCAAACACACACACACGGTGAGCACAGAAAAACTCCTCCTATCTGTTTTCCTGCACAAACTCTGCCAGTCGGACATCAGTCTGCAGTTTTTTTCTACAGGTGATCAAAGCTCTCAGCAGCACACAGACTCTCCCAACAATGAAAATCCTGTCATCATTTACTCATCCTCATGTCACTCCACACCCTTATGACTTTCATTCATCTTCAACACAAATGAAAGTGTTTTTAAGGTTACACTTTATTTTGATAGTCCTTTAGACATTCAACTGCCTATAAATAACTTTGCAACTACATGTCAACTAGCAGTCATTAGAGTATTCGTTGACTATTTGCTTAATAACTGTTAACACTTTATTTTGATGGTCACTCAACAGATGTTCTACTGACTATAAGTAACTTTGCAAGCACGGCAACTTATTCTACTAACCCTAACCTAACAGGCTACAAATGCTCCAATGAAAGTTAGTTGACATGTAGTTGCAAAGTTACTTACAGCTAGTAGAATGTCTAAAGTGGACTATCAAAATAAAGTTTAACGGTTTTTAATATTCTCATAATTTTTGTCCATCCGCTGAAAGTCCACACAACCAAAACTTGCAAACTTAAAAAGACTTATTAAAATAAACAAACACAAAATGAAAGTAAAGCAGCAGCCCCTCGCGGACGACTGCCGCACACAAAACACAAAATAAACTCCAGGCCTGGTCCTCTCTCATCTTTCACTGTCATCACTCCTCCTTTTTATCCTTCCGGAGCTCCTCCGTGAGACTCGAGACCGGTGAGTGGTGCAGGTGTCCCTCATTATCAATTACTCCACTGGCCTCGCTCCGTTCCCACGGCTCTCTGCCCCGCCCCCACTCGTCACATACCCCCATCGCCCCTCGCAGGCCGGTGGGTACTCCTGAGACTGCGCTCTACTCCCCCCCTAGAGCCGATCACGGCGGCCGCGGCGTACCTGGGGGTAAGGACAGACAGACGAGGCAAGAGAAAAGGAGACAGAAGAATGACAGATACGAGAGAGGAGAGAGAGGAAAACACTGATAAACGCACAAACATCTGATATGGTCAGCAGAAGCTCAGCCGTGCTGCTTGATCAGTGAGGTCTGTTTTTGTGTCAAGCAAGTACAGTTGAGCTTCTGAACTTTTTGAAGCTTTTGAACAGTTTGGTTGCGTGGTAGATAAGGAGAAAGATATGCAATAGCTTCCACAGAGATACCAGTTGACGTAACTCATGCTAAATGTCCTGCAGAAATAAATGCACCTTATCACTCAGTTATTAGACGCCTCTTATTGATGCAAGCAGCTGATGCAGAGACAGTGTGTCACCCATGGATACGGTAGGTGTGTGTGATCTCAGTTCCTGGGTCGTGTGAAAGCCCAAGCATTAATCACTGTACAGTACAGGCGCTCAGCTGTGAGCTCCAGCATCGGTGTTCCTATCCACTGATTATGCACACAAAAGCATTGTTCGAACTCCAGAAACACACAATCATAGGAAAACAGAGCCAAAAGAGCCTCATACCTCTACAAAACACACACACGTGCGCAGTGAGTAGGAGTTTTAATAAGACTTTGCTGTTCTAGGTGGCTGATTTTATTGGTGCCTCGACTTTAAAGCTCTTCATAAAGATACATGCTCTCACACATTGCTGGATTCCTTCTGCTCATATAAATTCCCCAAAGCAAACACATTAACAGCCACACCATCATGAAGACCGTGATCCAAGTCAAAGTCCTCGCCTGTGAACCGCTGGACGTTTCTAAAGAAGTGCATGAGATTGTTCCTTTCCTCCTTATATGGAAACAGACTTATATGTCGTGCATGATAGAAAAATTATAAAAGGGCACTTGAGAATCCTATCAGATGGGATGATATTACATTATGCAAGAAGCAAGAGGCACACTGCAACTGAATGGAGAACTAGTGCCAGTAAGAGCAATGAGTTATGACATCAGCCCTGGCCTCTAAAGCACACTATGAGGAAGTCACGTGAAATGACGTCACAGGGCTTTTAATCTGTCACGATCGATATGCTCAAGATCTGCAGAAATGCTGCAGCACGCACTTTGCCTCATTTAAAAGAATAGGTTGGTGAATGTGCCCGATCATCTGTTAGTTCATTTATTCCCTTTCTTTGAAACGAGTGTCAAATATTTGCAGTTACTATTGCTAAAGGTCAACTCATGGAGAATTCTTATGTTCTGGATTTGGCCATTGGAATGATTTATGTGGTGTAGAATAGTAAGGGCTGGTAAATAAAAGGCTTGAATCCTGCAAGCAACCCTCCTATAATCGAGTCCAGGCTGCTCCAGAGAAATTGTGCCTATAATAAAAAGGGTAATGGAAATGGTTTTGTGGGCAAAAGCACATGCTCAATTAATATTCTCTTATTACATGTAAATAGTAAGTGTACTGCAAACTACGCCAATTTTATAAATTCAATTCATTTCAATTCAAGTTTATTTGTATAGTGCTTTTCACCATACAAATCAGTTTACTATTGTCATTTTGCATTATTGACACACTATTTACTTAATTAATGCTGTTCAGTTGCTTTGACACAATCTGTATTGTTAAAAGCGCTATATAAATAAAGGTGACTTGACTTAACACGCAGCATGCACGATACAAGGAAATGGTCAGTATCATCGCTTTGAGGTACGATATCTATATCAGTAAGATCAATTCCTTGCGATATAATTAAATCTAGCGTATGATTAAAACGATGAGTGGGCCCGGTGACGTTTTGCTTGACTCCAAAAGAGTTTATTAGGTCAGTAAACACAAATCCTAATGCATCATTTGTATTATCAACGTGAATGTTAAAATCTCCGACAATTAGCGCTTTATCAACAGTAACCAATAATCACAATCACTTACTTACACAGTATTTATCAAATTTATTTTCTCCTCTACAAATGAAGACAGTAGTTCAAAATTCTCATAGACAGGAAGAGAAAATTTAAGTGTTTTCCTTATGAAAGCTCATTTAAATAAAGTAAAAAAAGCAGGTTTACATTTACATACAACATCCCTCCATCACAGATAACAGAAGCATGCTAGAGCAGTTCATCATGGGAAAGTTTCATCATCATCATCATCATCATCATCAGATGGACGGAGCTAGATTTGAAAAGAAGTCATGAAGATTGCAGGCGACAAGAAAACATGAAAATATCTTCAATCAGAAGATAAAACAACTTCACAGAAAGAAAACTACTTCTGATAAAGTCTCTACAACGAAAATGTACATCTGGCCACAGATTCCCTTTGAGTTGAACACAAGAAAGTGGAGAGATCTCAGCAAACGGAGCGGGATGATGGACGGCCGGTGAAGCGCTTCTGTCAAAATCAAAACTCATTCACTAATAAAAACATTTGACTGCTACATAAACCCGTTTTGGACTGTATAAATGATTTACTTCAGTCACTTGAGTGAAATGAAACATGTGGAGATGTTAGCTGTGAAGCAGGAGCACAGGCTGATGCATAACAAAATCCCAGGATCCCCGTCCTGTTAGTGGTTCGGGACAAAAGCAGCAACACATTCAAGACAAGACACCTGCAAATGAAAACATCAACGGCAGAAGATTCTGAGACACCCTAAAATTTAGGTCATTATTTACATCAAAAACTTTGACCATCACAAGCCCTGCCATCAAAAAGAAATATCAAGCTGTAATGAGAAAGACCAGCAAACCAGCAGCTTTATACTGGACCAGCAGTCACCTGTGACAGAGCATATAGTATATATACACATGGAGAAATGTGGGACTGTGATGGACGAGAATACATACAAAATAATTTCTTATATTCAAATCAATATTTATAACGCACATCTAATAGAAGCACATCATTTTTTAAATAATCTCAATAAAAATTCGAAAAAAAAACAAGAAAAAATAAAAAAAACAAGGCATGTATAAAAAGAGAGCAGATGATACAGAAACAGGTTTGAACATAAACACAGTACTGCTAACAGGAGGGAAGGAAGCACGAGGCCACATACAGCCCACCCGCGGAAAACCCTACGCTAACCACATAAGTGCAACAGACCATGTATCATTTCACATTATCATATATCTCTGTGTCTTATATGGGTCTGATCATTTGTCCTCTTGTTTCCAGGCTTGATTTGAGAGTAAAAGTACCTTAAACTACTGCTGGAGAGTAAAGCAGAGTCTTTTGATACTGCTCTCAGACGCTCTCAATCGGATCCGCTCTGGCTGATGAAGTAACCCGCGGCCCTCCGTCTCGACGACGCCCCGCTGCCATGCAAGTGCTGCTGTCGGCTGCGGAGGGAGGTGTGGTTGCCGTGGTGATGGTGAGGGGGCGGAGCTGGGGGCGGGTCTCTGAGAGAGGGCGGGACTACAGAGGACTTGATTGGGATGATCCGGGTGTCCATCACCTCACAGTCCACCTGCATCATCATTTCATAGCCGCCCTGAGACGAGTTATACACCGAATCTACACAGGACACGAAACAAATGACAGGCTTTGAATATATAGCATTTAATGGGGAGAGTTCATAAAAATGAACATGTCATTCCAAACATCACTGAACTAGAGCTGCACGATGAATCATGACTTCTGCTTCTCTCGATTTATTAAGCATAATCGTCTGTGATATTTGCCTGCTGGTTATTTATCCTGAAACAAGCATTTATATTAAATCAATATATTTTCTGCCCAGTGATTTACCTAATCTTCCCAATCTGGCAACCGCGCGTGTGTGCTTTCTCTGCATTATGGAAAAAAAACGCTGTGACCAAATCTGGGCAAACCACGCCAGCTGACGTTCTCTTGATTTGTGCTTATATGAAAGTGCAATAATTCTGATGAAATGTAAAAAATTCAAATGACAATAATCATGTTTAATAATTGTGATCAACCATTTAACCCCTATCGTGCAGCCCCACACTGAACCTCATTGACTTTCATGCATGAGACATTTTTCAAAACATCTTTTGTTTCACAGAATAAAAACAAATACATGAGGGTGAGTAAATGATTTTCATTGCACAATCTCACCATTGATGGCCATGGCAGGCATGACCAGAGACATTTTGGGTCGAGTTGTTTTATTGTGGCTGATGGCAGGTAACAGCAGGTGATCCTACAAGAGTCAAGCATGAGAATGAGCATGAGTGAGAGGACGTGTGTGTATCCTTTCTGTCGACACAGCAGAGGTCTGCTCTTCTTACCCGTCTGAATGATACGACGTAGAAAGTGTCCTCACGCCGATCAATAGCATCCAGAAAGTCGCTGTAGCTGATCTCTGGCCCGGGCAGGACCTGCAGCTGACTATGAGGACAACCCAGGCAAATGTTTAATTAACATTTAAAATTAATTACAACATTTGCACAACTTGTTTTACTCTGAGGCTTTGTAGCTACCTTTCGATAGAACGATGAGCCTGAATTGGAAGGTACCTGGAAAAGTTTGTCTTTCTGTGCTGAGCTTTCTGCTGATGAAAGGGAAAGAACACATAAATCAAGCGAATCGTGTGTAAACTACACTAATGTGTCACAGGGCAGCTCGTCTTTGATTCACTTCATGCAACATGCCTTGGAACATGCAACATGTTGCTCTACTTACTGAACAACAATAATAGGGAACTGCACTGCACTGCTTTACACAGCACTGAATTCGGCTGCTTTGAGGGAAATTATATGGAATGCAATGGACTGACCTGAGGTACACTGTTTGAATCTGTATGATACAGGTTCTGTGTTTGAGGAGTCTGTACGATATGGGTTCTGTGTTTGAGGAGTCTGTAAGATACGGGTTCTGTGCTTGAGTGAGTCTGTACGATAGGGGTTCTGTGCTTGAGTGAGTCTGTACGGTACGGGTTCTGTGCTTGAGTGAGTCTGTACGGTACGGGTTCTGTGCTTGAGTGAGTCTGTACGGTACGGGTTCTGTGCTTGAGTGAGTCTGTATGATACGGGTTCTGTGCTTGAGTGAGTCTGTACGCTAAGGGTTCTGTGTTTGAGGAGTCTGTACGATAAGGGTTCTGTGCTTGAGTGAGTCTGTACGATACGGGTTCTGTGCTTGAGTGAGTCTGTACGATACGGGTTCTATGCTTGAGTGAGTCTGTACGATACGGGTTCTGTGCTTAAGCGAGTCTGTACAATACGGGTTCTGCGTTTGAGTGAGTCTTCTGCGTTTGAGTGAGTCTGTACGATGCGGGTTCTGTTTTTGAGTGAGTCTGTACGATACGGGTTCTGCGTTTGAGTGAGTCTTCTGCGTTTGAGTGAGTCTGTACGATGCGGGTTCTGCGTTTGAGTGAGTCTGTATGATGCGGGTTCTGTGTTTGAGTGAGTCTGTACGATACGGGTTCTGCGTTTGAGTGAGTCTTCTGCGTTTGAGTGAGTCTGTACGATGCGGGTTCTGCGTTTGAGTGAGTCTGTATGATGCGGGTTCTGTGTTTGAGTGAGTCTGTACGATACGGGTTCTGCGTTTGAGTGAGTCTTCTGCGTTTGAGTGAGTCTGTACGATGCGGGTTCTGCGTTTGAGTGAGTCTGTATGATGCGGGTTCTGTGTTTGAGTGAGTCTGTACGATACGGGTTCTGCGTTTGAGTGAGTCTTCTGCGTTTGAGTGAGTCTGTACGATGCGGGTTCTGCGTTTGAGTGAGTCTGTATGATGCGGGTTCTGTGTTTGAGTGAGTCTGTACGATACGGGTTCTGCGTTTGAGTGAGTCTTCTGCGTTTGAGTGAGTCTGTACGATGCGGGTTCTGCGTTTGAGTGAGTCTGTATGATGCGGGTTCTGTGTTTGAGTGAGTCTGTACGATACGGGTTCTGCGTTTGAGTGAGTCTTCTGCGTTTGAGTGAGTCTGTACGATGCGGGTTCTGCGTTTGAGTGAGTCTGTATGATGCGGGTTCTGTGTTTGAGTGAGTCTGTACGATACGGGTTCTGCGTTTGAGTGAGTCTTCTGCGTTTGAGTGAGTCTGTACGATGCGGGTTCTGCGTTTGAGTGAGTCTGTATGATGCGGGTTCTGTGTTTGAGTGAGTCTGTACGATACGGGTTCTGCGTTTGAGTGAGTCTTCTGCGTTTGAGTGAGTCTGTACGATGCGGGTTCTGCGTTTGAGTGAGTCTGTATGATGCGGGTTCTGTGTTTGAGTGAGTCTGTACGATACGGGTTCTGCGTTTGAGTGAGTCTTCTGCGTTTGAGTGAGTCTGTACGATGCGGGTTCTGCGTTTGAGTGAGTCTGTATGATGCGGGTTCTGTGTTTGAGTGAGTCTGTACGATACGGGTTCTGCGTTTGAGTGAGTCTTCTGCGTTTGAGTGAGTCTGTACGATGCGGGTTCTGCGTTTGAGTGAGTCTGTATGATGCGGGTTCTGTGCTTGAGTGAGTCTGTACAATAAGGGTTCTGTGTTTGAGGAGTCTGTACGGTACGGGTTCTGTGCTCGAGTGAGTCTTTACGATACGGGTTCTGTGCTTGAGTGAGTCTGTACGATACGGGTTCTGTGCTTGAGGAGTCTGTACGGTACGGGTTCTGTGCTTGAGTGAGTCTGTACAATAAGGGTTCTGTGTTTGAGGAGTCTGTACGGTACGGGTTCTGTGCTTGAGTGAGTCTGTACAATAAGGGTTCTGTGTTTGAGGAGTCTGTACGGTACGGGTTCTGTGCTTGAGTGAGTCTGTACGATAAGGGTTCTGTGTTTGTCCAAGAACTGTACTTGTCCAGAGTGAGCAAAAGGGCTGGCAGAATCCCTCTGGACCCCTCACATCCAGCACACTCCCTCTTTGAACTGTTGCCATCTGGTCGACGCTACAGAGCACTGAGCACCAGAACGACCAGACACAGGAACAGTTTCTTCCCTCAGGCCATCCATCTCATGAACACTTGACAATAACTGTGGAACACACACTATTTATTCACTCATACACTTATTTATCTAACACGCACACTCAGTCTACATTTCAATTTGCACATAATATACCTGTACATACAACTGTCTATTATTATAAACCTGTACATACAATTGTCGATTTGTATATTTTTATTCCTTAGTTACTTGTTCTATTTTTCTATTTTTTATTATCTGTGTTTTTGTTCTGTCACTGTCATTCTGTTACACTGTGGAGCTTCTGTCATGAAAACAAATTCCTCGTATGTGTAAACATACCTGGCAATAAAAAACTCATTCTGATTCTGTTTTTGAGAAGTCTGTACGATACGGGTTCTGTTTTTGAGTGAGTCTGTATGATGCAGGTTCTGTGTTTGAGTGAGTCTGCTAAAGCTTGCTGAGTCACAGAGCGGCTGTGGTTTCACACCTGAGCTATTTTAGTTTTCTTCACAACCTTCGCCTTTCCATTAGACTTCCGGTTATTCTGATGACGATGGACCCATCCTCGCAGCTCATCTGCCAACCTGATGGAGAAACGGAGAGAGAGTAAAGCACTCTGAACAAATCTGTTTGTCTTCACACAAGTATGAAAGGTATAGAAGTATCAACTTTATAGTTCCTTAAAAAAAAAAGAAAGAAAGATATTAATTGATATTTTTTAACTGCCGATCAAAAGTTTGGACATACCAACTCATTCTTTTGTATTACTATTTCAGAATAGTAATTTAATAAAAAAATATTTCAAAATTTAATATGAGAGTAAATGCTGCTCCATCTGAAAGCATGTGAAAATACCACATTTAATAACATGTTTTTACTCCAAACTCACTTCATAACGTCAGTCAAGTGTTTGAAATAAATCCTTCTGTGAGATGATGTGGCTTCTTACACAGAATAAGGCACGCAACATATTTCATAGAATTTAAGTAGTGATAAAGGCATTGCATTATAAATATACTTTAATGAAAATTATAATAATAAGAACTCAGATAAACCGTATATTGCCGTAGTCGTGTGTTTATTAGTCACGTTGAATCAATGAGAGCAGTTGAATCTTCTGTTTATTCAGCTGCAGCGATAGGCATTTTCTGGGTTTCTTCTGCGAGGCGTATTTGGAGTTTCAGCGCGAGAGCGCCCTCTGGCCTTTGGATGGAGATTTACTGCTGATCACAGAACCGTGCTTCACTGAGAGATACGCATGACAATCAGCTTATGTCGAATCGTGATCTCGATTCCATTTCGATTTATCGTGCAGCCCTACATATATGTATATATATATATATATATATCAAATCTCACTTGATGACATTCAACATAATTAACAACACATCCTCATATAAACAAGTGCTGTTTTCTGAATTAAAGTGACAGCGCACTGTTCACGGTAAAAATTAACATGGATTGACACGGAAATTTCACAATAAATGGATAGAATTAAAAGTCTACTGTGTTTCAACACGTGGCTTTGTGGCACTTTTAGATAAACAAGGCAACATGATAGATGCACTTGTGGAGGAGAAAAACAAAGTTCTTTAAGTCCCACGAGATTGCTTGTAATAAAGATTTAAATGCAAAAGAAAAGGCACGAGAGCCGACTGTTTCTGTCAGTGATGAGTTTATTTAAAATGTTTGTGATAGCCTACTTTTAACGAAAGAAATGTATAGGCTATAGGCTGTGTTTAAATGTGCTGCCACTTGCTTGAGCAACTTCTTATACAAACCTAGAAGTCAAATGCATGAACAATACATTGTTTATATCTATTGAGTTTAAACGAACGTCTATGAAAAATTGTATTACTGTACTGTGATAAAAGAGGATCACAATGCAGAAAAAGCATTTTCAGTAACAACGTTTGGATTTGAAATAAAATAATGGATAAATGTTGTTTGTGGAAAGATCAGTAGCGGACTGCAAACGTGTCCTGTGTGAAAGCACAATGAGTCCGTGCTGCTTCTGCACTGCATACGAACCGCACACGCACTACAGACGGAGGATGTGTGAAACAGCCATCAAGCAAACCTGAAGATCTTCATTACCTTGATTAACCTGATCTACACGAGTTGTACTGTATGCTTGCTGTCTGAAAACACAGTTTTTTATTCTGATGTTTCACCTGCATTGGCACAAGAACTGAAGAACCGGTTCCCAATTTCCAACCCAAGCCACCAGCAGTATGTTCTTTGCTAATGTGTTTCGTGTTTAGAGTGCGTGTTTGTAGCTGCAGCGTTTACCTGACGGGGCTGAAGGTAAAGGTGATGAAGAGGAACAGAGCCATCACACACAGAGCTCTCTTGTTGCTGCCAGACTCCGTAGCCTGTTTGGCACAACACACAATTAGACAGCATGAAAAATGTCAAAAAAATGCACCGCGTGCGGCTGCAGGGTCTGACCTCTCTCCCGGCGAGTCGCAGCCGCAGCGCTTGGTTCTCTCTGCGCAGGCGCTCGTTCTCCTGCTGCGCCTCCCGCAGCTGCGCCTCCAGGTTCTGCAGGTACTCCTTCTTCTTCTTGCGGCTCTGGCAGGCCGATTCCCGGTTCTTTATCATACGCTGCTGCCTCTTCAAAACCTTCATCTGAGGACCACAAGTGTGTATTTACTATATGCAATCACTGTAACTTCACCGCAATTGATAAATGGAGCCATTCTGCGGTTAAACAGTTTTGTCCAATGAACCATCAAAACGCATAAAAGACTATCGTCTCATTTCGCACCGCATAGTTTGAGGAACTAGCCAGCAGTGTGTTTCCTGAACGATTTCTCCCGCGGGCCGTTTCCTGGTTGCATTCGCACCAGCAGCAGGAACTCTGAAGCGGCCGACAGCGACGTCTTTGTGCATGCCGTTTACAAACATCAACATCCGGTGAATGGAGCATGACGTGATCGGAGCTGGTTTTGTGGTGCAGGGCTCCAGACTAACATTTAAAAGAAGTGGCACCAGCGCCACTAAGTTCTACAGATGGTGGCACCAGGAGCAGATTTGGTAGCGCTGGGGGTGGTGTGCAGGAGTATTAAAATATAGATCATTTAATCATAAAATTACTATTGTTTTGCATTAATAAGTGCAGTTACTAATAATATTACATGTTCATTTCTTGTTTATTGTTTATACAGATTTGACAGTAAAGCACTAAGCTTGAGTTAAGATGCATACAAAATGTATTTTTATTAACAACAGTAACAGGTGCAAAATCTAATTTTTATATAGAAAATGTATATATTCCACTCTTATTAAATGTACCATTATTCTTCTAGTATATGGAACTGACCAACTTCAGTGAGTATGTGTGGTTTAGTAGCAAATTGAAGAAAAGTGTGTTTTCCAAGGCACTTTGTGACTTTTCTTCATACACAAAAAAAGTGTAAAATTCTGACAAAATCTGATTTCTTGATGATTTGATTTTTATAATAGTGATTTTGTAATTTCAAAATATAGAGAAAAAGTATAAATTAATTACTAATAAGCCAATAAGTGCTCCTCTGCTGCCATCTACTGGTTATAATTGTGATTTGATGTATTTTTTTTAGATTTTACATAAGTGTTTGTTTACCACAAAGTATATTTTGGTCATCCCATTAAAAATAACATTCAAACTGGATCATTTTAGAGCTTTAAAGTGCTGGAAATAGTTGTGTGAAATGCTTGAAAGTCATTGAAAAGTGCTTGAAATTCTCTCTCAAAAGGTTGTACAAACCCTGAAATGAATGATGTAATGCATTAAACTATTTCTACCACAACACCATGGTTACAGTTAGCGTTACCGCTTCTGGTTTCCATACGTATGTCAGCGCTGTTTATAACACAGAATTCTGTGCATAATTTGAATGATTCTCAGTAGATCTCGCAACAACCTTATCATTGTGCAGCGAATTCAAACGCTACTCACTGGATCTCACTGAGCTCAGGCAAGTTTGTTTGCGTCGCGGTCCGAGCTGAGAAATGGAGTGGAGCTCCTGAGAAACTGGTGGGTTTCGTGATAACGGAGATGAAATGTAAACGCATTTAATGTTACAAATCATCGAGGCTGAGAAGAGAACAACACTGCAGACAACAGGTAAATGCCGTTAGCGCTGTTTTCCATGTTCGTGGAGAAAACGGTTTTAAATGGCTATTAGAGCTTTAAAGTGCTGGAAATAGTTGTGTGAAATGCTTGAAAGTCATTGAAAAGTGCTTGAAATTCTCTCTCAAAAGGTTGTACAAACCCTGAAATGAATGATGTAATGCATTAAACTATTTCTACCACAACACCATGGTTACAGTTAGCGTTACCGCTTCTGGTTTCCATACGTATGTCAGCGCTGTTTATAACACAGAATTCTGTGCATAATTTGAATGATTCTCAGTAGATCTCGCAACAACCTTATCATTGTGCAGCGAATTCAAACGCTACTCACTGGATCTCACTGAGCTCAGGCAAGTTTGTTTGCGTCGCGGTCCGAGCTGAGAAATGGAGTGGAGCTCCTGAGAAACTGGAGCCCTGTGGTGTATGGTGGGTTTCGTGATAACGGAGATGAAATGTAAACGCATTTAATGTTACAAATCATCGAGGCTGAGAAGAGAACAACACTGCAGACAACAGGTAAATGCCGTTAGCGCTGTTTTCCATGTTCGTGGAGAAAACGGTTTTAAATGGTTTTTTAAAAATGCCGGGTAGCTGGTGTTTCGTACGCGTTTGGCCATTAGCGTACACTTACGTCCCTATAGAACTGTTTTAGACCCTACTCTGAAGTAGGAGCTGATCGAATGCCCACAAACGGAGCTCCTAGAACTAAAACTGTTCCTAGTTCCTGCGGTGCGAACGCGCCAAAAAGCGGGAACTGCCGTCGATAGTTCTTGGAACTATGAAAAGGTTCCTCCATGCGAAAGCCCTTTTGGTCCTGGTCACTCTCTCAGGGTTTATTTGGTGATATTGACCGGCTGACTGTAGGTTCTCCCCGACCATTGTTTTAGTTCATCCAACTAAATATGTGCATCACAGTAACTAAAAGATCCGATTATTCATTTAAATAAATAAATGTCTACATTATTCTACATATTTTACAGTATACAGCAGGCAAAACACAGCAGCTACTGAAAGCGTCACTCACGTCGATGTCACTGCAGCTGTTTCCAGTCAGGCTGGATGCTGGGATGATGGGTTTGCTCGGGGGCGGGGCTGAGGGGCTAGTGCAGTGAAGCATGCTGGGAGACAAAGGCTCCATTTTAACAATAGCAGGAGCAGAACCCAGACACACCGACTGAGACAGAACCACTGCAGGAGACAGAGTAATCAAAACTCAAATGTGCTGGCTGCTACAGAAGCACTGCTGACATTCAACCGGTTAGAAGCAATGGCACTACTAACTTAACTATATTTGAGTAGTGTGACTCATCATAAAGAATCAAATCCACCTAAATCTGAGCTGTGTTTGCTGCTTGAGTTGAGCTCTGTATTCTCAGTACATCAGTGGTGGTGTGCTCCAGTGTCGGCAGTGGGTCTCACCGGGCGTGGTGTTCTGGTCGACGGCTGGGATGGGTACGGGAACGCTCTGCAGGAAGAGAGCTTTGGCTGGACTGGTGCTCTGAGCCACCGGCAGCGCGGCCACACACACGGGTTTGGGCTGGATCAGAGGTTTACTGCTCAGAATGCTGCTGGCCTTCAGCGACGCTGCTGAGGAGAGGACTGAACACACACAGAACAGGCCCATACTGCTCATCATTCACAGAAAAACCTCTCCAATCGCATTCAGCACACACTCAAGAACCAGCGATGTGTGGCTTCAATCACATTCAACCAGAGGACCGGCAGACAGTCTTCAGTGAATAATGACTTTTGGTGTGTTCTTCACCTGCACTTTAAACTGAGGTCAAATCAAACACATTTATTGAGCTTTGTTGTATTTCTGTGACAGGCCCTGCTCACTGTATGTGCTCATTCTATGGAAATAAGCATCAAGTGCTTTCAGTATATGTGACAAGATATTTTCATTTGCATAATATTTATTTCCTGCTGTGTTTGTTCTTGCAGAACATTCAAATGTGAGAGAACACGTCAGTCTAGAGGAACAGGAACAGAACTCACAGTTAGTCTCTCAGTGTCATGTTACTCAGAACAATCTCTTATATCGGATAGAGTCATCTGCCGTTTGCTCACTTTAAATCAAGCAAGCAGTGTGTGTGTGTGTTTGTGTGTGAGAGAGATGTAGTGTGTGTGTGTGACGTGGAGTGTGTGTGTCACACGTGAGTGTGTGTGTGAGTGTGTCTGTCACACGTGAGTGTGTGAGCTGGAGTGTGTGTGTGTGCGTGTGTCTGTGTCACACGTGAGCGTGTGTGTGTGTATATGTGTGTGCCTGTGTCACATGTGTGAGTGCGTGTGTGTGAGTGCGTGTGTGTGCGTGTGAGTGAGTGAGTGTGTGTGCAGACCTGTGGTTTGTGTGTCGAGGCTGCTGAGAGCATGTGGCTGTATGGCCAGAGGAAGGGGAGGCTGATGCAGTGGAGAGACGCTGGTGACGGTTACCTCCACACTGGTCAGCGGCGGCGAGAGCACGTCTCCATACATGTACGGTGGAGTGGGCGGGTTCTCACTCTTCACCGTCACCTGAAAAAGACAGAGAAACAGAGAAATGAAGACCGGAAGAGTCAGACGAGTGTCCTGATGTTTGCTCAGCTGCACTGAAGAATGCAGGAGGAAACAATGTTAACGACAGCAAACAGAGATGCATTAAACACTACTGAATCCTCCCTTCATCTCTTTAACTACTTGAAATATTTAATTTACTCATAAAAGTACTGTTTCACAGCCTGCCGCAGAGCTGCACTGTCTTGAGGGATAGACACAGAGCTGTACACACCTGAGCTTCAGGTAAAGATGAGATGGAGCTGTCAGAGGTCAGAGACGACGCAGGTGAAGGAGGTTCAGTCTTCACCTGGAAAACTACAACATACACACACAACTTACTCACATGCACTGTGGCAAAACTCACACTGTCTGAACATGAAATCATCTGTAATGATCATCTACAACTATTCTAATGCATTACCTAGAACTATTAATGAGGTTTGGCATCCTACTGAAAATAAATAAATAAATACATACATAAATTAATAATAATAAAAAGAAAAAAAAGAAAACTGCATGGGGAAGCGTGCAGACAGGGTCACTTACACATGTCCACTGTCAGAGGTTGTGTTATAGTCCTGTTATAATCCTTCATGACTGACACTTCACCTACAAATAAGGACAAAACACAAACAGGGATTGGGTTATTATTTACGCTCTCTTAACAAATAATAACATAGAGAAACACATCCCAGTTTACAGTAGCAGTTGCTGAGTTCTAAGCATCAGCATTGAATCATTACACACAACTGTTTGCAGGTCAGAGTCGTTCTGAAAAAAGCCAATAAACTGCACACTCTCCGTATTACAAACCTGCATGGTTTGCATGACCGCCTGTTAGTCTGCCGCGTTCAACCACACACATTTAATAAGGTTCTTTTAAAGAAATAAGTTAAGACATTTCCTAAAATATATATTCCAAGACGTTTGTAAGAATGTTATGAAGTGCAACTCTTGAAATGTTCTTAAGAACAGGGTTTCTGCAGACATGAACAAGTTCAATTTAAGACTTTTTAAGACCTTTTTAATACCACCTTATATGAAATTTAAGACCTAAACCTGTAATGGAAATACACATTTGATTACATACATATAAGTAATATTTAATGCATTTAAATTAAAAAGAAAACTAAATATCATTGCTGTAATTAATGAGATTTATTACAATATACAGTGAACTTTTCATGTCAGCAGACAATATTCCATACAAAATATCCCCACAAAATAACTGCATCACTGAGAAAACGTTGAATACTGATATTTGAAATAATAGAAAATGTGAAATTAAAACCTCCAGTAGGTGGCAGCAAGTCACTGTTAATAAGTGAGTCATTTCGATTGAACCGAATCATTTAAACGGTTGATTCATTCAGGAAAAAATGCTGTCATGTTGCTCAAAGTCGCAAAACAGCGCTGTGGTTTTGTTTGGAATTATTTTTGTTGTCGAAATAGTGCAAAAACAGGCAATATGGTGTCTAAAACGTAAGTCACTTAATAAAACCTCTAGTTTACTGAACTGCTTTAAAAAAAATCTATATCACATATGTATAATTTTGGGAGAAAAAAGAGGCACTCTTCATGTGAAATTTATTAACTATATGAAGTCATTTTCTGCCCCATGTCTTAAATTTGTGATCATTCTGAATGTATTTTAATAGACTGAATCATGCAGTGAAAGAAGGCACTGTAAATGCGCGCGCGCACTAGACTTCACGCAATGCGTGCATTCTGTAGGCGTTTTGAACGGTTTTTTGCATCGTGAGAATATTGAGCAAAACAGCTCACTTGTCATGGTGTTACTTAACTATATCATGTTATGAATAAACTAAACATTCAGAATTTTTACCTCAGCGTGTTTCTGAGTTTATGTGTGCTGTTACGCTCATTTGCTCTGAAGTCTCTCACAAAAGAGACAAACAGAGTGAACCTCAACAGCGCGACCGTGATACAAGAAATACACTATCCATTATCAATCGCTGTTTACATTGAATGTAGGCTAATAAAATGAGAAGAATCATTCTCGCGTTTCAATGCTTCGCTGTTTTTTTTTTTGTCACTTATGTTTTAATCATAAAATTTCATTTGAATAAATGATTATTTTTATTGAGAACATTAAAAAGGTAGTTCGACCTATACAGTCTATGAGCTCGACCTGTATTCTGCTACTGCGATTCTCTCTGATGACGCAGTAACTTACCGCGGGGAAGAAAACATCTTTGGTCTGTCCAATGATTGTAAAGTCATTAGGTGCGTCAGACTGAAGATATTTTAGCAGTAATGGGACCAAAAATAATTAAGACCCATCGAATCCGAATTTAAGACATTTTATGACTTAAGGCCTTATATTAGGAAAACGTTATTGAAGACATTTTAAGACTTTTTAAGGACCCGCGGACAATTTTTAGCGCAAACAGTTTGATAGGTGTTGCTTTTAAAGAGCCAGTCTCAAGATGGAGTGATCGGTTTCATTTGTGCGTGGTCTTCCTGTGCTCTCTCTACAGAGTGAATTCCAACTGTGTGTGTGTGTGTGTGTGAGTGAGTGAGTGAGTGAGTGAGTGAGTGAGTGAGTGAGTGAGTGAGTGAGTGAGTGAGAGAGATTACATTTTATTATATGCATCTGGTGTTATGTTGTAATGCTTAATTACAGCAAATTCTGAAACTGAAATTTACTCATTTGTGAACTATTTTAATATGGACCTTCAAATAATTTCTTTGACAATAGGAGTGAAAGAGGTTGAGAACCACTGAGCTGGAGGAAGCAATGAAATGATGGTATGATCCAGAGGAAGTGCTGGCGTCTCACCTGTCAGGTTGTCATCCAGGTTCTTCCACGGTGATGTGGGGTTATCAGGGTCCAGCGTGAGGACAAGATCACTGTCCAGCTGACAGACAGAGAGAGAGAGAGACAGCCGTGTGCATATTCACTCAGTCTCATGATCACAGACTAGTTTACAGCAGCCAAACACTACAACTCTCCTGCTGTGTTACTCTTATTATGCCACATTTTCAGGACAGTATTTTCTGGAGTCTGTTGCTAATGGCAATAAAATGTCACAGCTATTGAGCCTATTTATTTGATTAAAACACCTGCACTGTAAACATTCCCCCAGTAAAGTGTGTTGATGGTGATGCTTAGACTGAGGAATGAGCTTTTCTGTGTCTCTCTGTGAGAACAGATCAGGTGGATCTGAAGAGACAGAGAGCGTGACAAACATTTACAACGGAGACTGTGACGGGAAATGATTGATTCCTCAGCCTCTGACAGCCGGACTTCTTCAAACTCAAACACATACTTATTCACATCAGTGTGTGTGTGTTGTGAACGTACCGATGTGTCATATTTCAGTTCTCCGGTGAAATCCTCCTCCATATCCTCACACTGATACAGACAGGCATCTGAGAGACAAAGAGACATGAACAGATTATGTGTATATAATAAGAATGAAACATGATGCTTTAAGAGCTGGAGGGTGTCAACTGTTTGTGTTCAGGATTTTTGGGGCGGGGCCATGCCTAGCACTATAATAAGAGGCGTGTTCGACTGGAAGCAGCTTTGATGTGACATCACAGTCCCGTGAGAGCTCTAGAGAGCAGACGCTCCCGATGCTTTCGAATGGCTCTCGCGGTACTCTAAAGGGTTAGTTCACCCAAAAATGAAAATTAGGCTGCGTTTTACTCACCCCGAGGCATCCTAGGTGTATGTGACTTTTTTTCTTTCAGACGAATCCAGTAAGAGTTTTTTAAAAAGTGTCTTTGATCTTTCAAGCTGTTTAATGCCACACAACGGGTGTTGCATTGCTTCAGTCCAAAAGAAGTTAAATAAAAATCGCCCATCCATAAAAAAAAAAGTGTCTCACACGGCTCCGGGGGGTGAACAAAGGCCTTCTGTAGCGAATCGATGCATTTTTGTAAGAAAAATATCCAGTCAAAACGTAATAATCACTTTAATGTAGCTTGTACTCACTGTTGTACACAGAAGCAGCTCGGGGAGGATGACGTATGAGTTCAGTGCTGCGCATAGTTGGGTAAACTTCAATAGCGGTGAAAGGGAGACTACCACAAATGTTTTTTTGCATCGCATTTGCTGAAATAGCAAAAGAAGCATTATGGTCCATGACAGAGTTTTCATGACTTTCAAAAAAAAAAAAAAGAAAAGGAAATAAAGAGAGAGAGAGACTGATAACGGCAGTCAGAGAGAACGAGGTCAAATTTACCGTCACACACCCTCACATTAGTGTTAACTAGCTGTTTTGTATTTTAATGCAAAGATAATATAATACAAAGTGTAGTGTTAAAAATGTACATAAATAAAAAATAAAAATACAAAAACCTTTGGGGGATTTATGATGCTGGTGACTGTTGAAACGCATCACCACAGTCTCGTGAAAAGGGTCCATTGTTAACAATACACTAATTACAAAAATACAATAAAAAAATTTGTAAAATGGGTGCAATTACTTTTCTGAGACGCTGGTGACTTCTTAATTTGGGTAAGCGAACATTCACTCAGAACACCCTAACAACCACCTAGCAGCCACACAGACGCCTAACCAAACCACATAGCAACACGGTAAAGTTAGTTTTAGGTTCAATATCCGCCAGACATTCGCTTTCGCGTGCCACTGTTCTATAGAGTCGACAGTCCTACAAAGATATCTACCACGATTAGTTTTAACAATATGCAACAACTTTATATCGACTTGAAAATATTATTTATAAACCGCCTAAGTGTATTGTAGCAGCAAATTTAAACCGTAGAAAGCTTTGACGTGCTATAGCGGCGCTTGATGCATAAGGGACCTTCTGACAACTCCACCGATTGGGTTTAAAACGTCCCATGTATTTTAACTAACGTGACTTTTAACATTTAAAATAAAACATTGCCAATCTGTAAAGCGTGTAGAACTCATAGTGATTTACTACAGGTGGGATTTTGCCAATACCTTCCTTCATATATGCAGTACAGTACACAATTATGTTCATAAAAAACTACTGTAAGTACCCAAACGGCTATTCAAGGTGGTAGTACATTCCTAGTGTCCAGACTGACTTACTACAGGTGAGATTTTGCCGATATATCCCTTACTGTACATACAGTACATAATTATTCTTAGAAAAGAATTACTGTAATTCACCAAAAGGCTTTTGTTATGTTCCAACGGTTGTAGTACATTCCTAGTGGCCAGACTAACTTACTACAACTTTTGGAACATAACAGTTTTTTTGGTGAATTTCAGTAATTGTTATCTAAGAATAATTATGTATTGTGCGTACAGTAAGAAAGAAATTGGCAAAATTTCAGCTGTAGTAAGTCAGTCTGGCCACTAGGAAAGTACTAAAGCCTTTGGAACATGAAAAAACCCTTTTGGTGAATTACAGTAATTGTTTTTAAGAATAATTATGTACTGCACGTACAGTAAGTGATATAACGGCAAAATTTCACCTGTAGTAAATCAGTCTTGTAACTACAAACGTACTACAGCCTTTGTAACATGAAAAAACCCTTTTGGTGAATTACAGTAATTTTTTTCTAAGATTAATTATGTACTGCATGCACAGTAAGGAAGATACTGGCAAAATATCACCTGTAGTAAGTCAGTCTTGTAACTACAAACGTACCCTTTTGGTGAATTACAGTAATTTTTTTCTAAGATTAAGTATGTATTGTACATACAGTAAGGGAGATATTGTCTATGGCGACCTATTGGTTAAATATTTTCTGTCAGTTTGCCCACAAGGCATTTACTATGGCGTTGTAAACATAATTTGTATTAATTCTTGGACTTCGTTTTGTACTGCGAGGTAAATTTGCAGACGGTCCCTAAAGCAGCCTAGGCGAATATCACACCTATAGAACTAACTTGACCGCGCTCGCCCTGGCAACCGCCCTGGCAACCGCACACAAAGCCCCGCTGTTCTTCAGCAGATGCCAAAGCTAGGGCAGCTACTAATGCTGCAGTACTACACAATAATACAGTAAGAAAACATATCAGGAAACTCTGATTAATATATTTTCACATAATTAATCCCATTTGATCGTACAGTACAACGCTGTTAGTAATGAACGTTATTATAAAATGTTACCATTTTTATACCACGAATCGTTGATTCTTAACGTGTGTCATGTTTTGTAGCTCTAAACGGGGCAATGTCTCTCTAGCGGCTGAGCTCTGGTCTGGAGGTAATGCAGTACTGGACTGATGCGGAGTGCCTCAGTAACGCTACTCACCCCAGTCCTCGCTGGTTAGCAGGTTATCGGCGCAGAAGCGACTGTCCAGCTCCGCGGTCATCTTCACCACACTCAGCCGCAAATCACGAGTCTACCTCACGCAGCAAGCCATAGTGAATCATCCAAACCATGAAGCAGACTGCTGGATTTGACAAACTGGTTTTTGTTTAACGGTTTAGCTCGCCATACTGCACCGTCGGCCGTCGCTCGACATACGCAGACAAGGAAACTCATTTCCTTATCAGGTCCTGCCTCTTTTTGTTCTGATCGGCCAATGGGAATGCAGAACAGAAGATTGACAGGACGGCTGGCCTCTCGAAACCCAGAACGAATGCAATTGGATGACGGATGAGCCAATGGAAGGCGGGCTGTAGTCGCTGAGAAGCATTGTGAGTGACTGCTGCAGAAGCCAATAGAAACACGGTTTGAGTTCACGGAAGTTATGCATAATACGGACTGCGCCTTTGTTTCTGTATTATTGCTGTTTTTCGTGCCGAATTTCTACTTTTGCACTAAGTGTGGTTCCGTCATTTACACCTGCTGCTGTTCAGCTGTTAGTTAAGCATAAACTCGTGTGTAGAAAGTTCTTGAATCTGTAGCTCTTACAGGAGTCACGCAGGTCGTGTCAGGGTCTCTTGATTCTCTGGTGGACTCCAGCATGAGAACAGTGAGCAAGGGAACTGTCAGATGAGTTTGCATCAGTTTCGCCCACAACTGCATCCAGGGCACCCACGAAAGAGCCACTAATAATCCTTTCAGTTAAGATCTGACGACGTCTTTTATTCATATGGATGTGTAGGTAACTGTAAAGTTCACTCTATTCTCCTCCTAGTTGTATTTCTGGAGAAATTGGTGAATTTATGTGATGTTAAATAAAGTGTATATTACTTTAATTATTTTAGCGAATTATTAGCATTTTATACACCGTTTTTTTTTTTAGTTCTACTCCTTGTTTACACTAATAAAATAATATTTTGACATCTAGAAAACAATTGTGACATAAACCTATCAAGTCACCAGCAAACCAATGCATCCTAACAAATACATATTTGAATAAACTATGTATTTTGACAAATCAATATATAAATTAATAAACTTGAACAAACCAATATATCTAGACGAATATATAGTTGCACAAACCAATATATACTTGAGCCAACCAATGTATCTTAACCAATATATAGTTGACAAAACCAGTATATGTCTGGTTATACCAATGTATTAAAAACCAATGCATTTGTCATTAAACCATACTACGACAACATCCTCATATTCAATCCTTGATGGTAATCTGAATTAGTATATTCAGGCAACCATGGTGGGTAACGCTGACAATAAATGCATAAATTATGTTTGCAGGCGATGTTCATGTAAACCAAACCTGCACAGATTTAGTGCAATACTCTTCTCTTCCTTAATGTGCATTAAACATAGCCTAACAGTGCATCGTCTGTGCATATCTGCTTACTTGAACAGGAGCATCACTAAGCAACAACTGACAGTGCGCTCTAGTTGCAGTGAATCCTCTAAGAGAATAACAGAGACTCAACAAACAATAATCATGAGGTGATACTTGCCTGGATTAACCAACCCCAATGTAAAAGGAAAGTGCCACCAAGCAACGAAGCAGCACAAGAAAAGAAAATTAGGAGTTTCAATGCCAAGTGGCAATGTTATGGCTTGTGTTTGACTTTATAAATAATATCACATGTATTGTGAAGACTGCAGGACATATGATTTTAGATACATACTGTTTGTAATCAAATGTTAGCCAAGTAATTTTAGTCAACATAAGCTCCAAAATACTGGCAAAATACTCATTTGTCAGTTTTTTTTTTTTTTTACTTTTCATGGTAAGTTAGAACAGCCAATGCAGTGAAATAATCAACTAACTACAACCAACTCTCTAGTCCTCAAAACTTAAAAAAAGATCATACCTTTAGCATACTCATTAGCTGTGCATTCTTCGTGGCGCAGGATGTTCAACGTAACGTGATAGATAGAATACGCCAATCAAAATGTGCTTTTTGAAAACTTTGTGAAACAGACCTAACTAAAATGTTGCTCTAGTAACCCACATTATATTAATATTAATGCTAGGAAAGGAAGCCAATACTCTTGGCAATTGTTACATGCATCTTGACTGAGGGGGCAGGATAGTCCGGTTTTCTCACAGACTGTTGAATGTGTAGGAGGTATTCGCGCTGAATGGTTTTTACTCCCCCTCTACCTGTTCTGGTTTCACCTTGTACAGTTGGACATTTTTGTCAACCATAAATATGCCACAGAACTCCATTGACTGAAGTTTTTTTTTCTTTCTTTCTAGAATCTCACTCTTCTGTCATTTTTTTTTTTTAAACAAGCAGTTAGTAAATTAATAGAGTGCAAGTGCTAGCGTGGGTCTTCGATCGGCGAACAGTATCCAGAGGGCTTGACAAGAGGGGTAGTAATCCAATAACACGAGCAATAGTCCAGACGAGGTGCAAACACAGTCCGTTACAGCAAGACAAAGGGTTAATCCAAGAAACACAGGCAGAAGGCAAACAGACAACAAGGCAACACGAAGTGACTAGACGAATGCTGCGTTCAAGTCCTCCTGGGACGTTCGTACTTACGAGCTGACAAGTCGTAATAACGACATCAGGTGCGTTCAAGTCACTTTGGTCGGAACAACATGGCGATTTCAACGAAATTCAACAATTTTTTAAACTTTACATCTACAAAATGACGAATAAAGAATGTGCGTCATTGTGTTTTTGCTTTTTTCTGTTTTTATTCAATTTATGAAGGTGATGTAAACTGAATCATTATTTGTTCTTTGGTAATTATACAATAATATAATAATTTGTATATGTAACATATAGTTTTATTTTACATTACAGTAAATTTATCATTTTATTAATTTCAACAAATTTACCATCAATACAGATGCTGCATATCTAGTCGTTGACTGCATCCAACACGTTTTCTCACTGACACGCCCCAACTCAAAAACTCGGGGCTTAAAGAAAATTTCAGTTTCCCACTCGTAATAACGACTTTGTGGTGGCGTTCATCTCATAAATACGATCTATCTGACATTACTTGAACGCACCATAAGACTAGAACTAGAACTAGAACTAGAACTAGAACTAGAACTAGAACTAGGAATGGCTCCGTAATGCAGCTATCGCTAGAAGAGTGATATGCACTAAACAATACTCGGCGTTGAATGGTGGCGTGAGACTGATTTAAATAGTGTGTGTTATTGGTAGCAGCTGTGTGTGATTGGTTTCAGGTGAGCTTGTGATTAGTGCAATGGAGCGTGGGAAATGTAGTCCAGGGTGATGTGTAACAGTCTGTGTAGTGTGAGAGTCCATGTCGAGAGCGGGTGACCTCTGGTGGTGAGTGAACGGAATTTTATAGACCGGATTTGTGACTGCAAGTCTAATAGGGGCAAGTTTTTAAAAAAAAAATAGAATTAGAATAGAGAGTGCTAGAGTTAGAGGTAAATAAAGATGGAAGAGATGTGTTTTTAGCCGATTCTTGAAGATGGCTAAGGACTCAGCTGCTCTGATTGAGTTGGGCAGGTCATTCCACCAGGAGGGAACATTTAATGTAAAAGTCAGTAAAAGTGATTTGTGCTTCATTGAGATGGCACAATAAAGCATCGTTCACTTGCAGAACGCAAGCGCCTAGAGGCACATAACTCTGAAGTAATGAATTTAGGTAAAGGGGTGCAGAGCCAGTGGTGGTTTTGTAGGCAAACATTAATGCCTTGATATTTATTCATAGCAATTCGCAAAACTAATGGAATGTGAAGCTGAAAACTGGATGACTAATTTCTTCCTGCTAAATTCTGGAAAAAACAGTGGTTTTAATTATTGGACCAAAAACCTCTGCATGTAATAACCTAGAACACTGTCTAACACTTGATGGCTGCTCTGTCAATTCTTTGTCATCAGTTAGGAACCTAGGTGTGCTATTTGATAGCAATCTTTCCTTTGAAAACCATGTTTGTAGCATTTGTAAAACCACATTTTTCCATCTCAAAAATATATCTAAATTACGACCTATGCTCTCAATGTCAAATGCAGAAATGTTAATCCATGCGTTTATGACCTCAAGGTTAGATTATTGTAATGCTTTATTGGGTGTTTGTTCTGCGCGCTTAATAAACAAACTCCAGCTGGTCCAAAATGCAGCAGCTAGAGTTCTTACTAGAACCAGGAAGTATGATCATATTAGCCCGGTTCTGTCAACACTGCACTGGCTCCCTATTAAACATCGTTTAGATTTTAAAATCCTGCTAATTACTTATAAAGCCCTGAATGGTTTAGCTCCTCCGTATTTGAATGAGCTCTTATTGCATTGTAGTCCTTCACGTCCGCTGCGTTCTCAAAACTCTGGCAATTTGATAATACCTAGAATATCAAAATCAACTGCGGGCGGCAGATCCTTTTCCTATTTAGTGCCCAAACTCTGGAATAACCTACCTAACATTGTTCGGGAGGCAGACACACTCTGTCAGTTTAAATCTAGATTAAAGACCCATCTCTTTAACCTGGCTTACACATAACACATTAATACGCTTCTAATATTCAAATCCGTTAAAGGATTTTTAGGCTGCATTAATTAGGACAACCGGAACCGGGAACACTTCTCATAACACCTGATGTACTTGCTACATCGCTAGAAGAATGGCATCTACGCGAATATTAATGTTTCTTTCTTATTCCGAGGTCACCGTAGCCACCAGATCCAGCATATATCCAGATCAGATGGTGGATCAGCACCTAGAGACGACCTCTACATCCCTGAATGTCAGCGGAGACCAAGTCAACTAGATACACCCCAGAGACAGTTCCCCGGCAAAGACCTCATCACCTCGACGACCATCGACCACGATTTGGCGGTTGGCTGCGATTTTTAATGCACAGCTTGTCAGTGAAGTATGGTTGTATGCTGCTGCATCTAAAAGCTAGAGGTTGCTCTCGCGCAGAAACTCCAAACATGCCCCGCAGAAGAAGTACCATAACACGCCTATGGGCATCATTCTATCACTGTTCTTCAAGTCTTCTCAGGTATTTTCATGATAATAAAGTATATTTATAATGATGATGTCTGATGAGTGTTGCTTTTACAAATGCACATTATAAGCGACTCAAACTTGTAGTGATTTCAGATGGAGCAGCACTTTCTACTGATCAGAGAGCCGTGCTTCAGGATAAGCTGCGC